AAAACAAGTAAATTTCAGATATACGTTATTCCAACAAAAATTTCGCTTGAAGATGGAACGGAGCCCATTTTAATTTAAACTCAATTTAATTTAAAGGATTATATTGAAGTTTTCCGCTCTTGTTTTTGAAACATGAGACCTCTTATGTAGCGATTTGGAATCATATTTTTTTAAATAAATATATATATATATATATATATATATATATATATATATATAAATAAATAAAGATAGCGTGTATGTAAATATAAAAGTGGACACAGGCTGTTTCATGCTAGACGCAATGAGCTGACGATTGCATCTAGCATGAAACAGCCTGTCGCCTCTGAGTGTTGACTTTAATATTCACTTTCATATATATATATATATGGTGAGTAGCAAAAGTATTTAACACATTGGTTATTCTTACATATCTCAAAAAATAACAGATCAATTTCAATGAAACTTATAGGAAATATTTAAATGAACATTGTCAATCAAAACATAGAAGAAAAATTTAAAACCACTGTTTTGAGAAACATTTATTAACAATAAATAAAATAACCCATATACAAAAGTATTTAACACCAATGCAAATATGCTAGAAGAGACGTGTCATCCTGATTCCTACCCATATTGATATGATGTGATATGTCGACCAATGACAGCACTGCACGACACTCAACTGGCTATTAGATAACAGCTCTGAGACACTGCAGCTATTCTGTTGCCACTACTGCAAGAAAATGGTGAAAACAAAAGAATTGTAGAACGACATGCGCAAGAAGATCATAAAGAATTACAAAGATGGTAAGGGATATAGAAAAATCGCTCAAGAGTTGAATTTGCTTGTGAGTACAGTTGGTGTTGTTGTTCGAAAATGAAAAAAAAAAAAAACAACTAAGAATTGGTTTAATAATAATGACATTAATATCCTGGAATGGCCAAGACAGTCACCGGATTTAAATCCAATCGAAAATTTGTGGAAACTATTGAAGTTATGAGTTCATAAAAGAAATCCATCGAATTTAAACAAATTGAAGAAGATTTGTGAAGAAGAATGGGTCAAAATACTAACAAGTACCTGCAAGAAACTAGTTGAAGACTACGGGAAACGACTGGAGGCTGTGAAGCAGAACAGAGGCTACTGTACTAAATATTAGTAAAGTGTGTTAAATACTTTTGGTTTTAAATTTTCCTTCTATGTTTTGATCGACAATGTTCGTTTAAATATTTCCTATAAGTTTCATTGAAATTGATCTGTTATTTTTTTGAGATATGTAAGAAAAACCAATGTGTTAAAGTTAAATACTTTTGCTACCCACTATATATATATATATATATATATATATATATATATATATATAGAGAGAGAGAGAGAGAGAGAGAGAGATATATGTATGAGCAGATGAACTTTTTATTGGAGCTGGTAAACAGACTTGAGAAGCTAATTTTCCTGAAAAATTGTTTTTTTAATAGAAAGATTTTATAAATTTTAACCCAAAGTCGCACTGGCTGTTTTGGTAAATGAATGTCATATACTTCCTTATAAGTAAACAACTTAAATTACCATTAGCATGTATGTTAAAACTTTTAAGCCCTGCTGACAGAGCTTAGAATACATTAAGTGTGTTCTCTGTCAAGTTTTTTTTTTTAACTTTGTTGTAAAAATAGAGTGGATTCTCTCTAGCCTTCCATTCATTATGATTTTCATTAAGACTGACATTAAATAACCCAAAAAGTATTTATTTATTGTTAATTTAACTGACCCTTTAAGAGGTTAACAAGCATGTAAGAGTTGTAAAGGAACTATATTGATGTTTTGCTAAACACCTGTAAATTATTAGAAATAGACTTTAATAATAAAATCTCAAGAGATGTTTCATCACTTCCTGAGATTGCTTGTATAGAGGAATGCATGTTCCAGTTTTACAAGATGGCCAAAGACTTGTTCATAAGTTTGTGTGGAGAATACATGAAATAGCTTTTGACCATTACCAGTCCCTTGAGTGCTTTAATCATTTGGGTGGGTGAGGGACCTAAGGATAGAAGAAACTGACCATATCCTCCAAGATGATCTGTTAGCAGGAGTTCCAGCATTGTCATGACCGTCCACTATTTGATGTTGTCTGACTAGCTTTGGTGTTGCTGTCCTCACTTGTGTCATCCTTCAATAGTGCCTTGCATGACGATCTTGCAGAGGCTGTTATACCATGTGACGTGGCCAAACCTTGACATCTTCCAATGTTTAATAGTGGTGAGGAAAGATTCCTGTCAGCCCATGACACTTTTGACCTTTCTCTGTACAATGTCATTGGTTTTGTGCTACCGTTAAGAAATGTGGGGATCCGCCTAGATCCTTTTTTCTGTCTCAACCAGGATTGTCTAAGTCTCATGCCCGTAGAGGAGAATACTACCAGTGATTTGTAAAGCTTGAACTTGGTCTGGAAGCTGCTCTTCCATATCCTTTCCAGTCTGGTCATCGCTTCTGTGAGGGTCTGTGTGTGGATTTCTGCATTACAGATGCCACTATTTGACAGGTTTGTTCCCAAGTATTTGAAGCTAGACACTTCCTCCAGTGATCTGCAATCCTTGTTGATGCTGGTACTAGTGTTGCTTATGCTATTCACCATCATTTTGAATTTCTCTATGTTAAAAAAACAGTGTCTTTAATCCATACAGCCATTTTGATATGCTTTCTTTTCAAAGTCTTAAAAAGAATCCTGATTTTCCAACACACAATGACAGCAAGTTGGTTTTACAAATGACAATGCTGGAAATAAATGTTGAATTTTAAATCAATCTTTTTTTACTTTCCTCTTACTAAGCAAAATAATTCTGTCTTGTTGGTTTGAAAATCTGAGTTGTCTCCCTTTTATGTCAGCATTATCATCATCATAAAACTGATCATTGTTATATTTATTGCATTTTTTAATGTTATTTTCTGTGTTATGCATGCAAATTAAATAAACATGATTTGTAATGTTGATTTGACAGTAGAGATTTAAAAAAAAAATAAGCAGACAAAAGCAGTTTGTGGTTTTTCTTTATTGTGTTTTTTCAAGCATATACATTAGAGAAAGAGAGGGTCAAAAAAAAAAAAAAAAAATATAGGGTGCTTTGCAATTCGTCTTTATTTTTGAAACAGGGATTTTTTTTTTTTGAAAGAAGATTGGGGTGTTAAAATTACAGAAAATTCTTTATTATAGAAAAAAAAAAAAATCATATTTTTCTAATTTAAGTCAGCACATCCTATTCGACAGTGTCCGAAAGAAAGAGTTGTGAAATGGATGGAATTAAAAAAATAAAAAAATTAAAGGGTGGGGTGAAGGGTAACCAGCATTTGCAAGGGAGAGAAATAACAGTAAATCAAGGAATAGTAGGCATAAAAAGAAAATTAATTACAAGTGGGCCTTCTCATCAGCAGCAGCAGAGTACCACAAAATGCACTGCTACCCACAGGGTAACTTCAGGGTGGGAAAAAGAGAATGACAAATGGACACTGTTTTTTTTTTTTATATATAAGGTTTTAGAGTGGTTGACAAAAATGTGAATTTTTGATTTAATAAAAAATGTTTAGTTCAATCTGAGTGGTGTAAAGTATTTTCATTTGGGAAGTGGAATACAAGGGTCAGGATACAAAGTAGTTATTGTTTTTATATCAAATATGAAAAAAAAAAAATTGAAAAAAATCATTTTTTTTTTTTTACTGTTTTTATTTTCTTCTCCTCATATTTTAATCTCCAGATTTTCAAAGATTTTTTTCTTTTTTTAACAATTCATAACTATTAACAGACACAGCAAGAGAAAGCATTTTAATTAAGTTTAAAGTTAAATTAATTTAACTCAAATTTAATAAAACACTTAATGATAAAGCAAGTTTTTATCCATTTCAGTTTTGTTTAATTTATAACCTTTTTTCAGTCTTCTGATGATCCAAAGTTAATATACAAATATTGATGCCTGTTTTAGATATGGATCCAGGAATTGGAGTTGGTTGATTGGGAGGAAGTCTAAGCTCACCTCATACTTGCACAAAACACAGTTTCTTTTTTTAAATCTCTATATAAAGAAACCAAAATAATCCTACTTAATCATAAATTAATCTTAAAACCAAATATTTAGTTTTGTTTTTCATCTAATATAAGTAACATGTTTTATTTCTTATTATTAATAATTTTTATTAGTTATATTGTCACTCTTTGATTTTTATTACTTTACTTTTCCTAACTTATAGTGATAAAAAAAAAATGTCAGTGAAATATCTACAGAAAATTCCCCAAACACTGCCAGTACATTGAGCTTTATCTGTCTCCTCAATGACTTTCATTTTGGGCTCCATTCTGCTTAAAATCCTGGATCCACCTATGTTTTTCAGTTGTTTTTTTTTTTTGTTTATTATTTTTTTTTTATTTTGGCATATAATTGGGATAAAAAGCTGCAAATAACTAAACCTCCACTTTTTCAATTTTCATTATTCTTCTCCTCAAATGGCTAAGTCATATTATCATGGAAGATTATTGGAATAAAAAGGGTTTTTTTTTTTCTTCTTTTCCTCATTCATAAAACACTTCAACAAAACAATGTGCTGTTTACCAAGAATAAAAAGGATGAATTTTGAGGTATTGCAATTCGTTTGTTCACTTTTTTCTTTTTGTAAATTTACTGTAAAGCTTATATAATTCGAAATTGCAGTGACAATGACACAAAAGATATTTCAGGATTACAGACCCCAAAAAATATTTTCATTTTTTTTTGCATTTTTTATGTTTTAATTTGCTGTTGAAAAGATTATTTTTTTGCCAAAAAAAAAAAAAAAAAAAGCAGCCATTTTTGTATGAAAAATTACAAATGGCTGATATATCAAATCTTTCAGAAAGGAAAATAAACATAACTCTTCACACTAGGAGGAAAAAAAGATTGTTTGAATGAATGCATGCTTATGTTTTTTGTGTTTCTACAATTTTCATTCAATTTAAAAAAAAATAAAAGCGAAAAAAAATAAACGTCTTTCTGATGACTTAATCCATCATCTTAGTGCCTGCAAACAGCTTGCTGAAGCAAGGGTGACAGTAAGGCTTGTTGTTTTGCTCTTTGAAGGTAACATTGTTGAGCTGCTTTAGGCAGAAGGCACACGTGAAGTGTTTTGGATGGAACTTACGTCCCATTGCAATGATGCTGGGCCCAGTTATTGGTTGCTGACAATCAGCACACAATGAACCACGCTTGGCATGGTAATGCTGCTCACAGTAGGGAAGGCCATCATGATCAAAGAAGCTCATGTTGCCAAATGGCCTTTGACAGTCCTAAAAGAGAGAGAGAGAGAATAAAAATACTAAAGAATAGAAAACAGAACAGATACTTTTTAATGCCCAAATGTTGAATGAAAAATAACTTTCAGTAAGGAGACACAAGACAAAATAAATTAATAATTAGTACCATTTTTATGAAGTCATATATGAAGTGTAGGATGTCTGGTTAGCGTGATGGTCATTGGCACAGAAAGCAAAATCCACAAGTTCAAATTGCCACCTAGTTTGTTACATCGACTTTCATACAAAACTTTTGGGAAAGAAATGAACCCATCTCTTCTTCCCCCAGTTTTAGGTTAAACAGCAGGGTATTGACTGTTCTACAGCCTTGGTTGGCAACCAGTCTAGGAGAAGGACAACTCTGAATTCCAAACTGTGGAGAAAATAATTGGAAGCCACCTGACTATCTTTCCTGCCTAGAAATAAATACAATATGGGAACCAGTAATAAAGAGTGCCAGAGAAAAGCAATGATAACAAAGTTGCAATATGAACTCTGGTAAAGACATGCAATGATAACAGCAAAAATTGCAATATGAGCACTGGTAAAAATGATGCTGAAAACATTAGGTTTATAATACTCTGAAGTTCATACCCAAATGTCCTCAAGGACACATGGCACAGTGGATAAAGGCGTTGGTTAGATCCAGTGACAGACCCAAAGAAGGTGAGTTCAATTCCTGGTTAAGGGAAAATTAGCAGGAGATAACTGATAACTGACATCCATCAAACATGGCACGTGGAACTAGAACAGTCTACCTCAGTGATCGAAATAAAGGGTTCAGTTCGAAATTCCAACCACCTGAAGAAGGCCGGAGCATACAACGCCAAACGTTAGACAAATATGGCGACAAAGATGAGGACAATAGTCCGACTGATGTAAATACTGTACATAATACCTCATCTCAGAAATATAGACAAATATATTTGAATATTTAATCACATCACTGGTCTAATCATAGTATGCATGTGCAAACCATATCGTATACATTGACCAATGACCAAACATAAATAACCCCTTAAAATCCGTTTGTGTCTTCAGTTTACTGCTATGAATTGCTTGAATATATGATTTCTGAAGGGTTATAAAATTGGTCAATTTCGTAAAAATATTTATATTGTGTAATGCCATAATTGTCGTTGGGATTGATATTGGAAGTGGTTTCCTTCTCCTCAATGATTTTTATTGAGACAAAGTTTCCCATTAGCACATGAAGAGTTAGACAGTTGAGATTTCAGGCTGCAGAGTAATTTCAACTCGGAAATTTGGGCTCAAATAAAAATATGCCAATCACTTCAAAAAATTAAAACACACAATTGAAAAAATTTATTAGAATAAAATCATATTGTGCAGCATAGCACAAAGCCTCATATCTTGCTTTGAAACTGTTTAATTTTTTAAAATTGTAATTTGTAAGAGAGTTGTCTATTTACAAATGTGAAATCTTCAGTACAGAGATTTAAATTTCAATAAATCTGTGAAGTTTTTAAACAAAATTAAAATTTATTGATATTCTTAAATCTTGATCAATAAGAGTTTACAAAAAAAGAAAAAAAAAAACCCCAAAAAAACAGCTAATCAATCTATTGTTCTTGCTACAAAGAACATTGAATTTTTATTGGATCAGATTTAAATGAATAAAAGTAAATAAAAAAATTTACCACTTTATTCATTTGTAACAAAAAAGAATGAAAGTTGCAGAAAAAATGAATTCTGAATTATCTTATCTACTAAGAATTTTTAATGCTAAATTAAAAAATTAACAACAACTCATTGCATTTCATTTAGGAATTCATGGAAATTGATAAATTTGATTTTAAATTGAGTTGAAATTAGTTCTGTCACTCGAGATTTCTGGAACGCATAAAAAGAAAGAAGGCCTGGAAAATTTGACACTCTCAAGGCATATTGAAAGCAAAAGAAACAGAGGAAAATAGCTATCTAATGAATGTAAATGAATGGCAAAACAGGAAAGGTGATAGTAAAAAGTTAAACATTGATAAGAAGTTGTGGTTAGCCATGATCGACCACATCCTGAAAGGATACGACACAGAAAAAGTTGTAAAAATGTCATGCATGCCAAGAATCTGATAAGAACATAACCGAAGAATCATCCGATATGATTGACAATGAAAACTCAACATCAACATTTTTCATCATCTTTGATATCCTCCCGACCATTACAAAATCCGATGCACCATTTAAACACTCGTGCATTGGCACACATTCTTCACAACTTCAGTTAGCAGAGAAAAACATTTGGCAGTTACTCTGATCAATTTTATCAAATTGGTACATTGCTCAATAACACATTGGAAAAAATCATGTCTACTTCAGATAACAGATAACAGTGAACTAAAAAAAGCTTTTAGGGATTGTTGATGCTTGCCAAGTGGTCAATGCATACTATGTGATTCAGGTTTACACAGTATGTTTTGACTTAAAAGAAGTCAAAACCTATTGAGCCCAGTTTCATTGTTTATATTGAAAGCTAAAAAAAAGAACTGAAGCTTTTAGGGATTGTTGATGCTTGCCAAGTGGTCAATGCATACTACACAAGTATGTTTTGACTTAAAGAAGTCAAAACCTATTGAGCCCAGTTTCATTGTTTATATTGAAAGGCAATGAATATGACAGAACTGAAGCTTTTAGGGATTGTTGATTTTTGTGAACTAAAAGTATGTTTTGACTTAAAAGAAGTCAAAACCTATTGAGCCCAGTTTCATTGTTTATATTGAAAGGCAATGAATATGACAGAACTGAAGCTTTTAGGGATTGTTGATGCTTGCCAAGTGGTCAATGCATACTATGTGATTCAGGTTTACACAGTATGTTTTGACTTAAAAGAAGTCAAAACCTATTGAGCCCAGTTTCATTGTTTATATTGAAAGGCAATGAATATGACAGAACTGAAGCTTTTAGGGATTGTTGATGCTTGCCAAGTGGTCAATGCATACTTGTGATTCAGGGTTTACACAGTATGTTTTGACTTAAAAGAAGTCAAAACCTATTGAGCCCAGTTTCATTGTTTATATTGAAAGGCAATGAATATGACAGAACTGAAGCTTTTAGGGATTGTTGATGCTTGCCAAATGGTCAATGTATACCATGTGATTCATGTACACACAAGGTAGTTTGCCTTATATAAGGCCAGTTTCATTATTTTTGTTGAAAGTGAATGAATATTTTGCAACACTTAATAAAGAATAAAGTGGATGTGTGAGTGGTGTAACGATATTGGCATGAAATGTGGAATCTTTGAGCTGAGATCAAATTCTGGACTAGTCTTCTCTGTTCACCTTTGCACTCATTCTCTTGGGGAGATATGATTCAATCTTTTCTCCTTCCAGCTAGGAGTTAAATTGTGAGGTAGACTGGGCTCTAACCTTGGGTGGTAACCAGTCTATGAGAAGGAAAACTCAGAATTCTCAACTGTGGAAAAGGTTACAGAAATCCACTCCAGACTCCTTCCTAAGAATGTGCCATAATTCAGAGACAATAAAATAAAAAAAATTGTGGAGAATCATGAATACTAATAATGTCATGAATAGACAGGACATATTTTGTTTTTTTAAATTAGAGATAAAATATGAACAAATATGTTAATAAATTTGTGTCAAATTTAAAATCATACCAGCATAAGTGTTTATTTAAATGTCGTTTGTGCATTAAAAATGCTTATATTTCATGGCAAAAAATTTCTGTTTGAAAAATCTTTAAAAACAGTCACATGAGGATTGAATTTTTAAGAAATTACTTTCAAGGCAAACTATTTTATATTGGTCTTACACATGGTTCTATGGTAAGCATCTAACAGAGAGAGTAAAGGTAATATAAGAATTTGAGTTAAAAAATCATAATGATTGAAAAAGAAAAGAAAAAAAGGGAAAAGATGTAAAAATAGGCAGAAAGAAAAAAAAAAAAAAAAAAAAAAGAAAAAAAAAAAAAAAAAAACCAATGAAGAAAAGGTAAAAAGACAAAAGGGGTACTTACCCAGCAGACAAAACACTCAGGATGCCAATGTCTGTTTAAAGCAGATATATAACTATCATTTATTGGTTGACCACAGCCACCACACTTTGGTGCAAACATCTTCAGGAAGTCCTCCCTACAATCAGATAGAAAAAGAAACAATTTAGAACTGTCTGTAAAGATGACTTGTTACCGAAGTGTTCAGGGATTTTGAACTAAAGGTAGTATGAATTTTGGCAGATTGCTGTAGATAAATTGAAAGAGATAACTTCAAAGGAGTCAGTAGAAATAAATCATTAAGATAAATACATTTTCATAGAAAAATTCATTAAAATTTTGGGTAGCGTCTTAGACATGAGGACTTTTTTCTTTAAAGCTCACCCAAAACAAAGCTTGTTAAATGCCTGGGTGTGAGTGTGCACACACACACACATATATATATATATATATATGTGTGTGTTTTTAACGGTACGGAAACGTATTATGGCATTAAAGACAAGAAATTTTTTTAATATAGGCCATGATAAATTTTAAAACAAAAACACAAGTTGAATAGTTTTGTCCCCTCTCATCAGAACTGTAAACGAGGAAACAGATTATGAGAAGAAAGTCTGTTGCGGATGACATGAGTGAATGGACAGGGAAAAAATATAATAAAAGTTCTAACACCAAAGATGCTAGAGACACAGCACAGCAAGCCCAAGCAAACAGTCACTTTGTTTACAAAGAGCGGGTCACGTGGACCTGATGAACAGCGTCTTTTTGTGTGTGTGTGTGTATATATATATATATATATATATATATATACACACACACACACACTCTCTCTCTCTCTAAAATGGCTGATATGAAATATCTGAACAAATTATGTAAAATGGAATATGTGAAAACCAGTTGGTTTGATATGATAGCTTTCCCAAGTGTATTAGCAGATAAGTGAATATAATGAACTTGACTGGAATTCAAACTCAGCTCTCCAATTCCTCAATCCAAAACATTATCCATTATTCTCCGATGCCTTCTTCCGTTATCTAATTGACCCAATTTCCCTACTCTAGTTGCATTAAATAATTTAAAATTGCGAAGGTGAGTCTCACACTCTTGATTGTTCAAAGATCAGCAACCAACCTGCAGTATGCTTGTCCATCCCGTTCATGGAATCCTTGATCACCAAAGTTGCAGCCGCAAAATCCACAGAAGAAATGTTCTGGGTGCCACGTCTTATCCAAGGCAGTCACACATTTCTGAAAGAGAAGTATTAAAAATAAATAAGAATATAGTGGAGGAGTCAAAGAAATGCTTAAAATGAATTACAACTAATCCTATATAAATCCTTATAAAAAATGGCAATGTTTAACCTTGATGCCTGCAAAAAAACAGTCTGTCAAAAGGATGGTTATTCCCTTGACACTGCCATTACTGAAAACACTTAACTCTATTAACAATGTTGTTTTAAAAAGCGATGATTAGAATTTTAATAAAACCTAAATAGATGAAAGCAGATTTAATTTTTTCTTGCAAATGCTTATTAATAATAACTTCCCTAATTATATTGTTAATGAACAAATAAGATGTTCTATTAGAAATTTTAATACAAAGCAAATAGAATATAATACATCTTTAACTAACCCCAAACATATTAATATTGCAACCAAATACATTCTAATTATAAACAAGAAGAAAATATCCTAAAAAAAAAAAAAAAAAAATGAATAAATACTAATATATCCACCACAGATTCTAGTAAAAAAAAATAAAATTAATTATATACTACACTAAATCTAGTATATCTAATACAATCAATTGTAACAAATCTTCCTCACCAACTAATATATTACAGAAAACCAACAGTGTATATCAATTTAAATGTCCTCTGTAGGATTGTATCTTCAATAGAAAAAATAATATTTATGTTGGCCACACTACAACCACATTGTCTCATTTGAATGATGCATCCAACATTTCTAAACATTTACAACAACATACATGTCCACATTCGTAATTCAGAAAAATTCTAAATGAAAATACATCTATGCTTTTTCATGAAAATATTCTTGAAGCTATCTATATTGAAAAATTGAAACCAAATCTTAATAAAATTAATTATGAATACTGCACAAATGTTTTAAAATGCTTACAGTAGATAGATAAATATATTGAGGTTTGTACTAATAGTTTTAATACTTATTTCTTAAGATTCTCGACAACACCATAACTTATTTACCTCCCCTGAAGCGATACTCAAGCCGATCACACAGTACCCAACTCAGTGTTCTTCACTTGACAAGTAAAAAAAATTTTAACTTTCAGATGAACACAGCAATTTTGTCTTTGAAAATGATGAACACTACAATATTTGTCTTGAAATAAACAACATTGTGCTAATGTTGAAAGTACTCTGAATAAAATATGTATCAGTAATTTTCTCTCTTCCTTTAATAATGACACCAAAAAGCTTGTATATGAATATGAAAGGATCCAATTGAAAATAAGTAGACAAAATTTGTCTAAATTACTCAATGAAACAGGTGTCAATGAAAACATCCTGTAGAGGGCCGTGGCTGTTTGTAGAGGTGTATAGCGATGGCTGTTATGCTGGCGGTTATGGTTTGTTGAGAGAAGACAATGAAAACATCCTGTAAGGTTCAGATTCTCCTATAGCCGCCCAACTACATAAAAAGGTTGGACTTGGTTAAGTCCAAGAAGAAGGAAATAAAGCAAACAAAAACAAGACCGATAATATATGTATACACAACAAATATATATTCATAACAAGTTACAATACAAGAAAACAGTACAAAGGACAAAGTATGGGAATATTCCGTTAAAAAAAAGGCGTGTGTGTATGCTTATGATTTCACGCTATTTCTTGTTAGGGACTACATTTTGAGGTTGATAGTTGAAATCCTCTAGGAAGAAGAGAAATTTGATGCACAAGCCTGAAAAGTAAAAAGAGATCGAAGCGAAGGGTCATTGGCTATTTATAGCCAGGAAAGAGAGACCTCTGGTGAAAGGGTTACAAACTGAAAGGAGGTTCCGACAATCCTGCTTTATATATATATATATATATATTTGTTTGACAAATTCACGATAATGATGAAATTATAAATAATGTATGTGTATATATTTGTGTACACACACACATATATATTTCATGAATCATTCATACAAAAAACAAATAATCTGAAAAAAATGCTATGAGAAATGTGTTATTGTTTTGGAACGTGCGGTTGCAACACTGAGTTTGAATTTAAATTTTAAGGTTGTGCGTTTTTGTTTTTCGGATTACATTTCTATTTTCAAGAAGTAAAAACAAGAACAAAATCTACTTCCATACCTGATGATGTCTGTAGGAACAGACAAAAGCTTGTAAAAAATTAAAAAGACCTTATGCAACTGGAATTTATAAACAGGGATCATATCATTCATATACAGGTTCGGGGTTGGTGTATCTTATTTATGTGTTTGCGATGATGTATTCTCGCCATTTAAATCATTAACCTCTATATTTGTTTTTTGTATGAATGATTCATGAATTTATAAGTTATAATTGCACCTTTTAATTGAAATATATATATATATATATATATTATTTAAAATATAATTTTTAGTGGTTCTAAATTTAAATGCTGTTAGGTTTTAAACAAGAATTCTAACCTGGTAAGAATTTTAGATTTAAGATTACTGTTGTATGAGATCTGATAATAAGCCCAATAGATTTATTGAACATCAGACAGTGACGAGCATTTTAAACACAAAACTGGAGTCAGGCAATCAGATAAGTCCATTGAACTTTTGATTCATTGAATACACACACACATATTTGGACAGCAACTTTTCTTTCAAACATGTTTCATTGAATATGACAGACAAGGAGAATTTGATTCATTTTTCATTGACTTTTTATACTATTATTAAATTTTTTTGTTTGCTGGGAATAAAGGAGAGTAAAAATTGTTTGTAATGCCTTTTGTCCCAAGCACTTTCAGTCACTTGTTTAGTCATTTTCAAGGGGTTTGTTGTTAATTTCTTTTTATGGTTGTCTTTTAAGAGCTTCATAGACAGACCCTCCAGTAATCACTCCATCCACTCGTCAGGAGGATGTGTAAAAATTCAGATATAAAAATAAAATAAATCTGTAAAGATAATCTAAATGAAAGACAAAAGGAAAACTTTTCTTTGCATTTTGTCTTCTGAGAAACTTCACATTTACCTTGATAAAGTTCTTGAGTGGATGAAACACATTAGTAAAGAAAAGTTTTCCTTTTTTGTCTTTTTTTTATTTATGTGTGTGTGTGGGGGGGGCGCTTCTGGATTTACTTACATCAGTAATGGGCCCACTGCAGTAGGCACAGCGTGGGGCAAAGAGGTTGTGGTAGTCTTGCTCACAGTAGGCCTTGCCTTCTCGCTCATAGAAACTCATAGTTCCTAGGGTCATCTTGCAATGAGCACAGGTGAAATGTTCCACATGCCAAACTTTGCCCAGAGCAGTAATCATCTGTGGAGATAACAGAATGAACAAATAAGAATGTAACATCGATCAAAATTATGAGAATTCACTCACCTCCATTCAATTAATTTGCTGAATCACGAAACAGAGAAAGAAATCAGATTACAGCATTTAAATCCAAAGAACCAAACGATGACAAATTTAGGAATTCATAAAAAAAAGTTTAATTCAAAGTGTTTCTCGGATGCAATAAACTTTGAGGGAAAAAAGTCTCAGAAGTATTTTTTTGAGTCTTTTTTTATATATTGTAACAGCTTTAAGGCAACTGATCTGGTGGCTTGGCTTTAGTCACTTTCTTACTGCCATAAGGTTGCCTTTCTGTGCCTTTTCTATAAATACTTTCATGTGAGCAGCAACACGGTTTTAGAGAGAATGGAAACAAAGAGGAAATTTATACTTAATATCAGGAAGAGGCAGTTGAAATTTTTGAGAAACATAATGAGGAAGGAGGGCTTGGGAAATTGGATACTCACAGGATGGATAGAAGAAAAGAGGGACAGGGAAAAGCAATGTGCGTCATGCTTAATGGGTTTGAGCAAATGGATGCTTAATTTTGGTGATTTTATGTGAAGTGGTAGTTTTGACGTCTTTTGAACGTAAGCCATACCACCCACACATTGTGTATACATTAAATGATACAAGGTCATGTAAATCACTCAGGCAGATTGTAGACATACATATACATTTTTTTTTAAATTGATTTTTCCCAAGCAAGTCAGTAAAACCACCAAGACACAAAGGGTTACTGGGTGTGGGAGAATTAGAAACAGAAACATTGCTAAGGAGCGATAACAAAAAAGTAATCAAGAGGACAGTAGATAACGATTGACATTACATTTAAATTTTTGCAGATTAAAGTTAGCTGAAATGCATGGAGCTGGAAGGGAATTCCACATGCAAGAAGTGAGAGAAAAGAAACTGTTAGCATAGAATTTATGGTTTAACTTAGCTAACTCAACTGTAAATCGATGATACCTCATCACCAGTCTAGTACTGCACTTAAATTTAAAGAGCCTAGGTACCATAATGAAGAACTCATCGGAACAATTACCATGAATGTATCTATAGAAAAGACACAGGGAGGCAACCTTATGGCAGTGGGAGACACTGAAGCTGAAACAGCAGAACAGGACTAATAATATTGATGATTCTTCTTTGGATTTTATCAAGGATCTCTAGATATATAGCAGGAGCACAGGACCATGCTGGCCTAAATTTTAAGGCCAATGAAAAAAATAAATATATACCTTTAATGTTGTTAGACCCAACCACTTAGAGTAGGGGTTCGAAAAATGAAAATAAGAAAAGGAAAAATAAAAATAAAAAAAACCCATTTTAGCATTTAATAGAGAAAACTTGAATACTGTGAAATTAGGTTAAATCAAGCTGGTTACAATTTTAAGACCTTACCTGAAAGAAGTTCTAAAGAGAGTAGGAAATCCTAACAGGACGTCATAGCAAAGAGTTGCAGGACTGTCATTGTGAATAACTTCAAAAATTCACCTTGGCATGTTATATATATGCATCTACAGAAGACTGGCTGGAATGTTAAGTCTAACAATGCAAAAGGTATATTTTTTTCTTTATTTTCATTGGCCTTAAGAATTTGGCCATCAGTGTATACATCACATATTCCCGTGGCTGTCATGAATAACTTCAAAAATTCATCTTGGCATGGTATATATAAGCATCTGCAGAAGACTGGCTGGAATGTTATTGAGTCTAACAACGCAAAAGGTATATTTTTTTCTTTATTTTCATTTGCCTTAAGATTTTGGCCAGCAATGTATACATTACATATGCCCATGCAAAATCAGATACAGTGTATGACAGAGAATCATCTCTTCTTTGATAAAATAAATTGCTGCTTACCTGACTAACAACGGGTTTGTTACAAGCAGCACACAGTCCTTTAGTCTTGGTACTCACTCCCTGTCGGTTCATATCAGATTGCAAACTGCCCAACATGCTGTCCAATTGGTCTCCATGGGCTGCGGCACCTCCACTACCCATATTGACCGCAGAGGCTGGTGTGGCTGCCCCAACGGGGCTCCTATTCTTGTGGGGCCTTGCGTAGGCCGGGTCACCGCCAGCACTTCCGGCGTGCTGGGTGGTGGTAGAAGAACTATCTCGGTTGGTCATCTGTAAGAAAGCAAAGGGAGAGACAATTATTTTGAGATGTAAAAAAAGAGGGAGAGACAATTATTTGGAGATGTAAAAAAAAGACGGAGAGACAATTATTTGGAGATGTAAAAAAAAGACGGAGAGACAATTATTTGGAGATGTAAAAAAAGACGGAGAGACAATTATTTGGAGATGTAAAAAAAGACGGAGAGACAATTATTTGGAGATGTAAAAAAAAGACGGAGAGACAATTATTTGAGATGTAAAAAAAAGACGGAGAGACAATTATTTGGAGATGTAAAAAAGACGGAGAGACAATTATTTGGAGATGTAAAAAAAGAGGAGAGACAATTATTTGGAGATGTAAAAAAAAAAGACGGAGAGACAATTTTTTGGAGATGTAAAAAAAAAGAGGGAGAGACAATTATTTGGAGATGTAAAAAAAAGAGGGAGAGACAATTATTTGGAGATGTAAAAAAAGAGGGAGAGACAATTATTTTGGAGATTTGAGAAAAAAAAGGAGGGACAATTATTTGGAGATGTAAAAAAAAGAGGGAGAGACAATTATTTGGAGATGTAAAAAAAAGAGGGAGAGACAATTATTTGGAGATGTAAAAAAAGAGGGAGAGACAATTATTTGGAGATGTAAAAAAAGAGGGAGAGACAATTATTTGGAGATGTAAAAAAAGAGGGAGAGACAATTATTTGGAGATGTAAAAAAAGAGGGAGAGACAATTATTTGGAGATGTAAAAAAAAGGGAGAGACAATTATTTGGAGATGTAAAAAAAAGAGGGAGACAATTATTTGGAGATGTAAAAAAAAAGAGGGAGACAATTATTTGGAGATGTAAAAAAGAGGAGAGACAATTTTTTGGAGATGTAAAAAAAGAGGGAGAGACAATTATTTGGAGATGTAAAAAAGAGGGGAGAGACAATTATTTGGAGATGTAAAAAAAGAGGGAGAGACAATTATTTGGAGATGTAAAAAAAGAGGGAGAGACAATTATTTGGAGATGTAAAAAAAGAGGGAGAGAATTATTTGGAGATGAAAAAAAAGGCAGAATTAACAGAAAATCAGAACTAAATTTATTTTCATAAGTTGATGCCTGGTTGTCATGGAAATACAATCTTCAAACTGAGCCGGGCTTGTCTGCTTTGAAAATCAGCATTCATAATCTGCGCTTTTGAAAGTAGATACGCAATTACCTGACCCACTAAGCAAGAAACTTCATAATTAATAAAAATACAGTATTAAATTACTTTTTCCTGCCTTTCAGTTTCCACTGTTTTGCATCAATATGTTGTCACTGAATCTTTTCTGGATCAAATTGGACAAGCAAGCATGTTTGAATCTTATCGTAACATCTTTAAATTCCAACAAAAATCAAGTTAAAAGAAAAACATCAAGTAGATAAGAAAATAGCTAATGCTTACTTCTACTCTATCTCAAATAAATATATATATATATATATAGAGAGAGAGAGATAGATAGATAGATAGATAGATATTGATAATATTAGTGGTAAGTATACACATACATATGGAAAATATATAAATATATTTACATAGGTGCATACACATACATGTATATTTTTTGAATAAAAATTCCAAGAGGATAGAATCCAGGTAGAACTCAATGTCCAGGACAGTAAGGATATAATAAAAAGGCTTAAACACTAATATTCCATGGTCATAATTTATTCCATTAGAATTGTAAATACAATCCAATTCATCAGTGAATTTGTAGGTCTGATGAATTGGATCGTATTTACGATTCCAATGGAATAAATTATGACCATGGAATATTAGTGTTTAAGCTTTTTTTTTATTATATATATATATATATATATATAAAATCTCGTTGATAATAGTCTTATGAAAGTTGAAAATATTCAGACATCAGAAAATTTATGTTCAAATATTTGCTGGAAACAAAAAACACTTTTACCAAACTTCTATTATTTTTATTTTATTTTTTTCACTTAACCTCCAGCAAGATGATAATGCCACTAAAACTTTAGGGGCTACTGGGAGTGAAAGAGAATGAAAAAAGATGAGAAGGAACCAGAAACCGAATCCTAAACAGGAAACAAGGGATAAACTGCTACACTTATTCAAAAGACTTGAGAGAAGAGTAAACCAGGCAATAAGCAAACCTATGAACCCCTATTGAGAAAAAAAAAAAAATTTAGTAACTAAAATTTCAGAGTTCAGGCAGAGATGTTAGAAGTATAGAGGTGAAGTAGATTTTAGGAGCCAAAAACCCAATTCTAAACAGGAAACAAGAGATAAATCTCTACTCCTGTTCAAAAGACCAGGGAGGGGAATGAACTGGGCTATAGACAAACTTATGTATTACTATAAATGCTATTTTACTGAGTACATGCATTTGAGCAGATATCTATTTACAAAAATAAATTAATGTCTGCTAGTTTAGATGACTGAAAATCTTATTAAAGAAATGGCAGGAATTGAACTTGTATTTCCCCTTTTACTTTTCTTTCTTTCTTTCTTTCTTTTTTCTAAGAAATAACTGACTATGTCCTGAAGGAAATTTCTCAAACATGGCCAGCAGTACATACATAATTTTATACTTCATGTATGATGTGACCACATTAAAATTAGCTTCAAAATTAAGTCTTCAAAAGTCGCAAGATATGTGAGTATATATGGTAGATAATTAGTATCCAGGTGTTAAGCTGGCAGGCTGGACAAAAATCTTTTGCACACCAGATGTACCTGAGGGTTGCTGCCCTTGCTGTACATTATCATAAATTTAAATATTTTAGCTTCAATAAATAAATATACTTCAGGTTTTACGACTTTCATAGACTAAATGTATTCCCACTGTGGTGTTTTATTATTATACTAACTAAATTTACAGAGAGATAAATTTAGTCAACTGATAATGGAAGATACAAGTACAAAGATTCTTCTCAGAACAGATAACTGACTATTTGTAAACAAAGTTTCTCTGAGAAGCAACCTCATGAGGTACGAAGACAAGAAGTGAAAAATTCAGCACTTTAGCTGATGAGTATATAAATAATAATCATAGTGTCGAAAGCAACACAGTTTGGATAAGAAGGAAGGAAGGAAGAAAGAAAGAAAAAGATGGACATTTAGTTTCTGCCTTAACTGCATTTGATTTTGGGATATGAGATAAGACGGGCAATTTTCTTTCTTTAAATGAAAGAACTGATTGTCACTTCTTTAATAGTATGGCTCTTGTGTTTAGAAATCTAATACTTAGAGACATTAGATGCTCTTTTTTATGGCCACATCATGTTGAAACACCAGTTCCTGAATGATCACTAAAGTTAAGCAAAAACTGATCAGTACCAATATGGGTAACCATTTGGGAATATCTGGTGCTGTAACCTTAGATGTGCAGGTAGTGTAATGGATAATGGCTTGGAATTGTTAATCGGAGAGCCAAGTTCCAATTCTTGTTATGTTCATGATATTCGCTTATGCACAAATAACCTTGGGAAAGGTATCAATCCACCTATTCTCCCTACAGCTATGGGTTAATTAGTAAGACTTGTATCACTAAAACCATTATTATCTCAAAAAATTCTTACATTCTAAAAATATTTTATGGGTTTAAAAAACCTGCAAAGGGATAAGGCGTAAAAAAAAAAAATGAATCAATCAATTTTTTAATCGTAAAACATGATTCTAAACATATGTTTAATGATTACTTGGAAAGTATATAATAAATATAGACATACAATGACAGTTACATTTATATTTATATATATATATATATATATATATATATATATATATATATATTGTGTGTGTGTGAGAAAATATGAGAAACTGTAAAATTTATTAATGACACATTTTGCCACAGAATCTGTTCTCTTTGGCTTCCTCAGGTTAGAATGAAAGAAAATCAAAATTGGGTGTGAGAAAAAAGCCTTGGGATCTCCTGAGGAGAAGTGTGAATCACAAATCAAATTACCTTAGCTTATCACCTTCCAATGTCCAGACTTGAGAAAGTGTCTGTTTGCTTTATCCATATTAGAGCCATTCAGTATTGTTGGATTTTAAAGCAGAGATTACATATATATATATATATATATATCTATATATATATATATATATATATATATATATATATATATATATATATATTAATTGATCACTATTCCTATTCTATCCTCTATTACTATACGGATAGTTATTTCTATTCTATCCTCTATTACAATATAGACCATTATTCTCTACTCTATTCACTATACTATTTCTCTATTTGGATCACTATAGGGATTACTATTAGTGTGAGTATAGTTTGAAGGCGTCTGACATCAGCATTGTTCAACGGTGTGACTATAATTGTAAATACAATTATAAAATCTATACTAAAACAAACATTACGAAAGTGACAACGAGTATTTGTTTGCATTACAAAAATAATATATCGCACATATAGAGCTGGTGTTAATAAAACTGTGCTTCATGTAATAAAACAGACATATTAAATATATATTAATAAATATACATACAGTGTAACCTGGATATAAGAGAGTTGTCGGGACCGGAGAAGAAGTCTCTGATATCCGGGTTTGGTCTATTTTGTTTAGGTAAGTATGGGAACACTTTGGGACCAGAGAAAAATCTCTTATATCCGGGTTACACTGTATTATCCCACACCGGTATCTTGACTCAGAGTTTCATGCACAACACAATCTTCAGGTGCTGAATATCTGAAGATTGCATTGTGCATGAAACCCTGAGTCAGGCTACTAGTGATAATATATATATATATATATATATATATATATATATATATATATATATATATATAATTATTTTTATAAAAAAATTATAAAGGATGATGTTGAAAATCACTACAAAAATTTATTTTATTTTCAACATCATCACTTGATAAGACACAGATGTGTTTGAAAATTTTATTTTTGTAGTGATTTTATAACATACTTATGTTATAATTTTTTTTTAAAAAATAATTATATCTGCTCTACTTTGTATTGAGCACTCTTTTAAGA